ATTGCGACGCTTAAATGGTGCGATGAGTTAAGCTCGCCTAGAACCAGATTTATACCAGATTTATATTTAAGCCAATCAAAACAAATTGATGCCAATTTTAATTTCGTCCTATTTTCAAATTTTCCTACGCGTTCGTCGAATGTTCTGTACTTTTTTTCTCCTCTTAGGCTCCACACCCAAACGCAAGGCTATCATTGCGACGCTGGATTTGCGGGCGGCTATTGATGTGCTTTACAAGTGTCTGCTCACCGAAACTCAGTACGAGTGTTACGAAGTGGCGCTGCTGGGCCTACTGGCGCTGTTCCGGAAGAAGCATCTGATCATGGGTATGTAGTAGATGTTAGGGAAGAAGCATCTGATCATGGGTATGTAGTAGATATTAGGGAAGAAACATCTGATCATGGGTATGTAGTAGATGTTAGGGAAGAAACATCTGATCATGGGTATGTAGTAGATGTTAGGGAAGAAACATCTGATCATGGGTATATAGTAGATGTTAGGGAAGAACCATCTGATCATGGTTGTGTAGTAGATGTTAGGGAAGAAACATCTGATCATGGGTATGTAGTAGATGTTAGGAAAGAAACATCTGATGTTCCCTGGTTCCGTATACTACACTTGAATTACAACAGATACACTAATCCTCGTATTATTTACGTTTTCTTATAACTTTGAATAGTATGCGCGTGGTATGGCATATTTTCCTTGGATTCCGTTAATTACATTTGAACTACAACAGATGCACTAATCCTCTCATTTTATGATGCTGCAAAGTAATTTCATGCTGTCCACTCGCCCGTCTCTGCCAATCCTCCGTTTAATTGCCGTACACCATAGGCAATTTACGTAAAACGTATCACACATTTTGACACACTACACCCCATTCCTGGCCGTGTTCTACCCAACACGCACCCCCTTTCCCGTATAAGTCACTCGCCTCACACCTCGGCTTGTCCCTGCTCCAGGCGCCGAAGTGGATCCCACCTACCTGTGCTCCATACTGTGTGGTCTGATTAAAAAGGACTATCTGGCTTTCCACGTGGTTAACATTCCAAGCCCAGGCGGCAGTCGGTGGCAGTTGTACGTGCATGCGTACCATATCCTCGTGCTGTTGGTCTCCTACCAACAGACCTTCGGCCAGGCAATGAAGGGCAGAGCTATGAAAGACGATGTATGTACGCGCGCGCGCGCGCGTGTGCGTGTGTGTGTGCGTGTGTGTGTGTGTGCGTGTGTGCGTGTGTGCGTGTGTGCGTGTGTGCGTGCGTGTGCGTGCGTGTGCGTGCGTTGCGTGCGTGTGTGTGCGTGCGTGTGTGTGTGTGTGTGTGCGTGTGCGTGTATGCGTGTGTGTGTGCGTGTGTGTGTGCGTGTGTGCGTGTGTGGCAGTAGCATGTACATGCGTGCTATGTCCATATCCGCTTGCTTGGGTTTTAAAGTTTTTGGGTTTAGGGTTCTATGGCTTTTTATGCCTCGTAGATGATACACTTCTTTCCCTCATTCATTCTTTCATGCATTCATACATACCCACCAGCTGCTGGCGTGTTTCCGTAAGGGTCTGGTTTCAAAGTGGCGCAACCTCACTCGGCCGTGCATCTATGCGCTGCGGCTGTGCTGTCTGGAGATGCAACAGCCCATCACGCGCATGCTGCCGCACATCCTCAACGACCTCAACAAGATCTCCAGCAAATCCTCCCTAGCCATTCCCATTCTGGAGGTAAGACGCGAGAGAGAGAGTGTGTGTGAGAGAAAGAGTGTGTGTTGGTGACTGGTGAGAGTTATTGTGGCACACGCAGGTGTACAATGTTTCGTGACCTATAATGGCTATGTATATCGTCAATTACATTCACATGTACATATGTATAGACATACAGAGAGTATATTACGGCTGCGACCTTGTGCTCACAATATTCATGATCTACTTTGTTCGATGTGTTTACGGACTCAATCCAGTCGGATGTATATGAGCATGAAGTAATTGCTCCAATCCGTATACGACTTCTATGCGATATAAAGCACTTTGTATTGCGTATCCTGTTCGGGGCCAATATGGTGTGGCACGTATTCTCAAAGTGCACCCATCCGTACTGCTTCAGGGCTGGCCCGAACTAATAGTTTCAATGACTGATACAATTATTAACGCATGTTCTCTACAGCTATTGTCCGGTCTCATACGAATTCCTAAACTGTACGCCAACTTCACCGAAGACCATTACAAGGTATTTACTACGGAATGGGAAGGAAGTTTACTAGGTGCAGATGCCAACTTCAAATGTGCAATACTTTATTCATCCACACACACACACACACACACACATACATACACACACAACAAACACACACACACACG